AACAGATTTATGAAAATATATATATATATGTTTTCTGAGGTTTTCGCGGGTATTTGTATATAGGTCTTTGGTTGTTCGGGTTTTCTCCCGCGTAAAATTGGAAGTGTCTTGGCAACGTTTCGACGAAGTCACATTCGTCATCTTCAGGCTGGTGTTTTAGCTTCTTGCTTTGAGCAGCAATGTGTGGTTTTAGCTGTTTCTTCCTTTTAACTGCCAGTGAGGGTATGAACTGATTGGATGGGAGCTTGGCTGTGTTCTGATTGGGTGGAGGTGTGTTCTGAATGGTTAGGGGCTTGGCTGTGCTCTGATTGGCTGGGGGAGTGTTCTGTTTGGTTGTGCTCAGGTTAGTCTGAGTTGCAGAGGGGTTTAAGATTTTGGGGTTAGGGAGTCGTTTGTCAATAAGGGCAGGTTTCCAAATGGCTGGTAGGCGGGAGGTATCATCTCGCTTGTTCATGCTGTGTGGGCGTTTTTCTATCTCGATGGCTTCTCTGATTATTCTGTTATTAAAATGTTCACTTTTGGCAATGGTTCTGGTATTTTTAAAGTCAATTTCATGTCCTGTGGCTTTAAGGTGTTGGACCAGGGAAGATGTTGGTTCCTCTTTTTTGACTGAGTTCTTATGTTCTTCAATGCGTGCACTTATTCTTCTGTTGGTTTGTCCGATGTATGTGGTGGGACAAGTGGTGCATGGGATTTCGTATACTCCTTGATTTTCTAATTCAATTTTATCTTTGGGGTTTCTAAGGATGGTGGATATTTTTCTGTTTGTGCAGAATGCTGTTTTAATGTTGTGTTTATGGAGGATCTTACTGATTCTGTCTGTGGTGCCTTTTATGTATGGGAGGAGGGCTTTGCCGTTTTCTTGTTCTTTGTCTTGGATTTGGTGGGGGTTTCTTTTTGGATTAGGTTTGTAATCTTATTTCTATGGAATCCATTGGATGTTAGTACATTGGTGAGAGTGTGTAGTTCGGGTTTTAGGTGTTGTTCGTCAGCTAAGCGTTTTGTTCTGGAGATGAGTGTCTTGGCTACAGAGTTGATCTGTGCTGGGTGGTGGTGTGAGAGAGCGTGCAGATAGCGGTTTGTGTGTGTTTTCTTCTGGTAGATGGTGTGTCCTAGGGAGCCATTGGATTTCTTGTAGACTAAGACATCCAGGAAGGGAAGTTGGTTGTTAGCTTCTGTTTCCATGGTGAACTGTATTTTGGGGTGTAGGCTGTTGAGGTGTGTGAGGAAGTTGTCCAGTTTTTCTTTCCCATGTGGCCAGATTATGAAGGTGTCGTCTACGTATCTGAGCCAGAGTTTGGGTTTGTGATCCGATTTTTCTAGAGCTTGGGTTTCAAAGTGTTCCATGTAGAGGTTGGCAATGACAGGTGAGAGGGGTGATCCCATGGGTGCTCCTTCTGTTTGTTTGTATTTTTGTCCGTTATAGATGAAGTATGTGTTGGATAGGCAGTGGTTGGTCAGATCTAAGATGTGTTTGGGGGGGTTATATTTGTTTTGAATAGCTGTCAAGGCTTCTTTGATAGGCACTTGGGTGAAGAGGGATATGACATCGAAGCTCACTAGTAGGTCGCTGGGCTGTAAGCTTTGTTTCTTTATGATCATTGCCAACCTCTACATGGAACACTTGAAACCCAAGCTCTAGAAAAATCGGATCACAAACCCAAACTCTGGCTCAGATATGTAACGACACCTTCATAATCTGGCCACATGGGAAAGAAAAACTGGACAACTTCCTCACACACCTCAACAGCCTACACCCCAAAATACAGTTCACCATGGAAACAGAAGCTAACAACCAACTTCCCTTCCTGGATGTCTTAGTCTACAAGAAATCCAATGGCTCCCTAGGACACACCATCTACCAGAAGAAAACACACACAAACCGCTATCTGCACGCTCTCTCACACCACCACCCAGCACAGATCAACTCTGTAGCCAAGACACTCATCTCCAGAACAAAACGCTTAGCTGACGAACAACACCTAAAACCCGAACTACACACTCTCACCAATGTACTAACATCCAATGGATTCCATAGAAATAAGATTACAAACCTAATCCAAAAAGAAACCCCCACTAAAATCCAAGACAAAGAACAAGAAAACGGCAAAGCCCTCCTCCCATACATAAAAGGCACCACAGACAGAATCAGTAAGATCCTCCATAAACACAACATCAAAACAGCATTCTGCACAAACAGAAAAATATCCACCATCCTTAGAAACCCCAAAGATAAAATTGAATTAGAAAATCAAGGAGTATACGAAATCCCATGCACCACTTGTCCCACCACATACATCGGACAAACCAACAGAAGAATAAGTGCACGCATTGAAGAACATAAGAACTCAGTCAAAAAAGAGGAACCAACATCTTCCCTGGTCCAACACCTTAAAGCCACAGGACATGAAATTGACTTTAAAAATACCAGAACCATTGCCAAAAGTGAACATTTTAATAACAGAATAATCAGAGAAGCCATCGAGATAGAAAAACGCCCACACAGCATGAACAAGCGAGATGATACCTCCCGCCTACCAGCCATTTGGAAACCTGCCCTTATTGACAAACGACTCCCTAACCCCAAAATCTTAAACCCCTCTGCAACTCAGACTAACCTGAGCACAACCAAACAGAACACTCCCCCAGCCAATCAGAGCACAGCCAAGCCCTAACCCATTCAGAACACACCTCCACCCAATCAGAACACAGCCAAGCTCCCATCCAATCAGTTCATACCCTCACTGGCAGTTAAAAGAAGAAACAGCTAAAACCACACATTGCTGCTCAAAGCAAGAAGCTAAAAACACCAGCCTGAAGATGACGAATGTGACTTCGTCGAAACGTTGCCAAGACACTTCCAATTTTACGCGGGAGAAAACCCGAACCCAAAGATAACCAAAGACCTATATATATATATATATATATATATATATATATATATATATATATATATATATATATATATATATATATATCGATGCTAGACATTTCACCACAGACCTGATAACATGCATTATTTAAACTGAAAGAGAAATCTAATTTATGCGTTACTTGAGCTAGGAAATGTGCAGTGACATAAAAATTCTTTTGAACCTTCTAAATATATAAAGTCAGGAAAAGGCCATACTAGCACTCTAGAAAGTATAGAAAGATATGCCTAAAGAATGTTCAATTACACCAGGAATAAATTTTCATAGTGACTGATAAAATATTAATATCAGGGACAACAATGATTAATGTAGTCAAATGGTGAAATATCACTGATGGACTATTATTGTTCCAATGTTGTGGGTGATGAATAACTTTTACAGATAGTAGATAGTATGGGGTTCTTTTTTAATCCTATTGACATTAGCATTTCAATTTAATTAAAGTTATAGCCACTTAGGTTCTTTTAAGATCGATGGACATGATAATCATAGCTAATAATATTACAAATGACTTCAACTGCACCAAACAATGGATTAGAAATAAATGCTGTATTTGTCCACAAATATTACAGAGAGTGACCAGTGTATTCAGGAAACAGGATCACATTCTTTCAGAGTTCAAAAGGGTGAAAAATGTTGTTCTTAGTATGAATAACATTTAACAAGGTTGGCAGGAAAGGCAATCTGATGTTTCATTATCTTTCAAATGGTTTTGCCATAGAGTCTAAAATATATTGTCAGTACTTGCTGACAAATGCCATTAAATAGGACATCACACACATGAGTTTGGGGATGCTAATATTATTGTTATGCTAAGTCACCCTTTCACCCTATGGTGTATTAACAGATCATCTGACCTTTCTATCCATCAAATTTTGAATGATCCTGGGTGCTGAATACTCTATTTGGATAGATCTCATCATCCAGGTTATAATTAGAAGACCAATGTTTAATTATTATATTTATGGGAAGCACAAAAGATGAAACTACACAATTACTGTTAGGGCACAGTTATTAGCAGCTTAACCCAGAGGAGCACTTGAATTATTGTGTGTACATTTTAGTACTGAGCGGAGAGAAGGAGGACACTATCACTGTTCCCACAAAAAATTGAACACCCTATGCATTGGTTGTAGAAGAAGCTTGATGGGATACTTATACCAGATGTGAACTACTGGGCAGTAGTATCTGCTGCAAATGTTAAAGAATAATTTCTGAAGGTTGTTATTTTAATTTATCCTCTCCTGGAAATGTTCAATCCAACTATATCAGAAGGTACACAACTGCACAAGCAAAAGGTGAAAAACTGCTCACTGGAATCCTGAATTGTTAACATCTTGTCCTATGAACAGAAAGCCCAAGGAAACAATTCCAGAATATTACTTGCTTGTAGGCAAATGCATACATAACAGCTGTTATGCTGAAAACAACTCAGACAAATTGCTGTATCTTTTATCAACTAGCAGTGGCCTGAAGCCAATATTTGGCTGTAAATCCTCATATACATGACCTGCCTAGGCAACTCTGCTTCATTTCTATCAGCAGAGTGCAAAAAGAAAAAAGAAAAAAAAGACTGTTTCTCTCCTGAACCCACTCTGTCTGACTCCACATCTTGATGTATGTTCTTGACTGATGTCCTCCAGCTTTTTTGGCTCTGCCATCTCACATGGTTTTTTTTTTTTTTTTTTGTGCAGGCACAGAGCAGGTGGTTTTACATCTGTTTCTCTCTCCCTCATTCTAGCCTTCTTCTAAATCTCTAATTCTGCTCTGATGTTGCTACCCCTTCTCCCTTTCTCTCAATCCTTGTTCATTCTGTTATAAAATTGCTATGTTAATGATAGATCAACTTCATATTTTAGAAAAGCTGCTCAAAACAAGAGAAAAGGAGAGTGTGTGTGTGCTTTATAGTCATTTCCACTGTTAAATTGCTATTAATTTAGAGCCGGTATATCAGAATATCCATCCTCTTATGGGCACAATGTAATGAGTTCATTAAGAAACTCAGATTGTTGAGCTCAGTTGTAAAACTTTTTTTTTTTCCTTTCTCCTCCTCCCAAATGAATGTAGTCAAGATCTGGAAATGTGTGAGGCTGTCGTGACTGTGGTGGGAATTACTGTGACAAGGTCCAGAATCAGCAATTCCTGGTCATCTCTCATTTGGCAGCCAACAGGACCAATATTTATAGGTGGCTTACCACATCACTATGCAACAAAGCAGGTAAGGTATTTTTATCTTGTGTTCCTTCTGGAATGCCTTATATTTAAAAAGATAGGCACTCTTGTAGCAACAAGTTGATATCTATTTATAAAATGGCATGTGTTCCATAGACAGTGTGAATTTACTGATAGGCAGTATAAAGACATCCTTGAGCTTATCTTGATTCCTGGTAACTACACAGACAAAACAATAATACAGAAGCAGTTTGAGCTCTTCCTTGGGATAGTTTTCAACTGTTCAACATCTAGCTTACAGCTCCAATATTCTTGATGGTCTTCCTTCCAAAATTAACAAGCTCCTACTCTGCTTAACTTCTAAGCCCACTGAAAGCGGGTCCTTGCTTCTTGTTCTTTTTTCTTGTGGACCTATTCTCATGCTTTCTTTGAAACTGATTTAATTGCACATTCTTTTAACTATTGTGAGCTACCCTGAATGGAGAGTGCACACTTGAATAGCAGGCTATAAGATTGATTAAAAATAAATAAATAAATTGAAATCCTTACTGAAAAAAGGACGTAGAACAAGCATCCATGCTTCCTGTTGAAATTAACCATGGACGATTTAGCTTCCACCCTACAGTTTGTCTGGCTTGCGTTTCTTTTAGATATGGTTCAGACTAAAGAAGTCCGTAGACTGTAGCATCTGCAGGTTCTGAAGCTTTTGTCAAAATGATGAAAGAGTCAGGCCATACAGTGCAGGCTGCGCTTCTTTGCTATTACAATGCCTTTATGAAACAGACAGAGCTTTATCATGACAGCACAGTGCTGCTTTCTTTATCTAGGCTCCCTTCCTCCTAGAAGGAAGGAAGGAAGGAAGGAAGGAAAGAAGGAAGGAAGGAAGGAAGTTTCTATATTATTTCCTAAAACTTTGTAGGATGCAAATCATTATCCAGATGTATTCTAAACTAGATTACATATAGATAATTCTCAACGTCCAACCACAATTAAGACTGGGATTGCTGGCATAAGTCAATGCAGTTGTAAAGCATGATGTCACATGACTGCACCGACGAATGGCAATCCCAGCACTCCTTATTGTGGTCGTTAACGGAAGGAATCATGGATTTTTGTTAAGCAAGTGCCCACCTTAATCTTTTCCAGCCTTGAGCCTCCCCTCCCATCTTTCCCTTATCTATGTGCTTGCACCCTGCTTTGTGGGGCAGCAAGCAGACCCAGAACCATGCAACTCCGAGGATGCTTATCACATTCCAGGGAGCTTCAGCCATCACAGCCTGCCCCAGCAAGCATTTGCCCAGCTGCCTTCTCTCCCAGTTCACTGCACTGAAACTATTTGCCCTTTGCACTCAGCCAGTATGCTCAAAGCAGAACTGCCTTGCTCCCATTCTTTCTCATTTTTAGAACCACCTTCTTCGACAAATCTTTCCTACACTAGACCCCATGAGCCTTCTAAAAACTGTACTCTCTTTGTAAATCTGCACTGTCTTCAGGATGCCTTTGGAAAGACAGCACAGCTTTACAAAGGCAGCACAGCTTTACAGAGGCTCAGGAAACCATGTGTAACAGGGGGCTCCAAAAAGGAAACAACAAAGTAAAAGAGGTATTGTGGTGGAACCACTGGCTGAAAGGGAAGTGGCTCCTCTAGAAGTAAAGATGTTCCTGTTTAAAGTTGGCGGGGGGATGTCTGAGATCATTGGTATGTAATCCTTTTCAACAAGTGGAAAAGAGGACATTGGGGCAGCCAAAGTTACACATCTAGATTGCAGCAGTTCAATTCTTCCCTTCCATATTTTACGGGCAGAAGGCCATGTCCTATCAGGTAGATTGGGGATCAGAGATGTTCTGCAAAAACAGAATATAAGAAAAAGTCAATATAGATGAGATTTCAGAACTAGGTAAACTAGATAAACCAACCTTATATCCAGATGTTCCAACTGCTGAGATTTCTTGTTAAGTTCATCTGACAACCATGAACAGAAGAATTTATGAAGACCAATGTTGTGTCAGATTAGAGGCCTGTATAATTCAGTAGGAACCAAATACACATGAGAAGCTCATAAGCATGCATGAATGCTTAAGACAAGTATCTGATCATGGACTTGTCCCCTCTCTAAAAAAAGTGATTCTAGTATGCAATCATGAAGAAAAAAAGCAATCTGTATCCAGTTTTTATTTAATTTATACATATTAATCATGTCCTAATTATACATCTGTTTTTCAAAATGACACTATCGAAACATGTTTAAGCCCACCCCTATCCCCAAATAAACACATTGGCCAGACAACAGAAGAACAGGTGAACGCCTGAGTAGAAAATGTTTAGCATATTCCATCTGCAGACTCAACATCTGAAATGCATAGAATGCATGTTCACCTGGTGTGCTCAACTACACAAGTAATGTAATGTTAAAACTAAAAGCAAACTGCTTTTAGTTTTCAGACAGATTTAGGAGGGAAGAGACAGCAAGGGAGAGTCAGAGAGAGCAAATCCCTTCCTTTATTGGAGTAGAAAATGGGCTGGCCACTGACATCGCCACAGTTTTAAAGAAATTAAATCATTCTATAATACAGAAGGAAACAATGGGGGAGAGCAGGATGGTCAAGGACACAGTAGGAACCTTCTTCTGAATTGCATTACTTTAAAAGCATTGTGTTTGTTTTACTTCCTGATTAACCTATCTGGAGCAATAATAAAGACAATAAGCCTACAACCTCTCCTCAAAGCAGGCCTAGGTTTTAATTCCTGCAAAGATCTGTGAGCTTAATTTAATTTAATTTAACTGATGGGAATTTAATTCCTGGAGAACTTGGCTTCAGCGATCTGAGTTTACATGATGCAGCTTTACTGGACTAAAACAAGTCAGAAATTCTATTACAAGTCATAATTCTGGCTGAACCTATAGAAAGAAAAACTTCATAAATGCATACATTCAAATGGCACTAACAACAACCGTCAAATATGCTCCTCTTCTTTCTTCTACATAAATAATCTATGGTTGCTTTAGTTCTTTCACAATTATATTTATTTTTAAAACCCTTTTTTAAAAAGACCAAACCTTTAAAAAGATTTAAGCTTCTCTTCACCATGCCTTCTTCTTACATTACCTATTTATTGATTGATGTAAAACTGTAATTCAGTAACAGTTCATGATATCTTGGGGGGGGGGGAAGAGATCATTCTTTAGATCTCTTTAGTGTAGTCATGAGTTTAGAGTGCCATGCAGGGATTGGATAGAAACAGATGTGTTTAGTTTCCTAGCAACCAGCCACATCACGATTTTGTTTGCTCTTTTCATCATTCTTTGCACACGTTACAGAACTGACTATTTATTTAACACAAAACTTGTATTCTGTATGTGTATTATTAGGTTTCCCATATATGAATTAAAATGCCACAGTCTCATAGTTAACAAACAATAAAACAATGCATAAAGTACAAATTAAAATAGAGACAGGCTCACTATAAACAACCCAAGATCAATACAAAATCAGATTTTATCAGAATAAAAAAAAATCTTCCTACTGCCTCTGAATATTGTAAAGCATAGTTTATTTTCCACTAGTGCTCCTGCAAATATTCATCAGTCAAACCATTGTGCTGTTATGATAGTTGGATAAAAATTGTTTCATCAGATATAAATCATGGGTTATTTTGGCAACTGCTTTATGTTGTTGTTTATATCTTATATTACATGAGCTGAGTGAATGATCTGCTTTGCATAATCTGCCCTTTGAATCATTTAATGATTTTTCAGTTCTGGCCTTAGTTGCAGATTACGGTAGTTTGAAAACCTTGTTCTCGAGCAGCCAAAATCTAGACTTCAGTTTCTTTTTTAAATGTTCCAATTGTAAGCCACTGCCAAGTTTTATTTGTGTCCACCTTACATTTTGTGAGTTATTAACCAGTCACTGATATCTCCTTTATGCAATATGTCATTAAGCTGTTTAGCTGTAATGGGACATAAGCTAGTCATGCAATTGATTATTTACAGATGTTCAGTTTTTAATCTTTTTCACTCAGTTTTAACCATTTCTGCTGTTATTATTAGTTCTTCCATTTGTTTTTGTTTTTTTTAACTAAATTCATCTTCCCATAGATCTTTCTAAAACTTGTTTCTTTTTTTGTTTGGTTTCATAATTTCTAGTGCCATTTACACTTTGATAGAATTGCCTCTGGTCTGATTAACGTCATGGTTCTGATAGATGAGACCAATTAAAAGAAATTCAAGGCAAGGAATTCTTCCTCAAAGAACATTTTCATTCCGCTACAAAATAATGGCACACACAAAGGTGAACACAAAACTAACTTCCCCTCACCTTGGTTACAAAGTGGCAAGTTACAATTCCCACCCCAATTTGCTGTCATAAATCACATTCACCAATTGTTAGAAAACGTGGGCACTCCTCCCAGTTCTCCAGCCCGCAAAATGGTATCAGCAATGATCTTGGTTCCCATACATTTGAATTGTTTTGGCTAACTGAAAACTACACCCCCTCTTCCTTCTTCTAAAAAACTAAATATATGACAACGAAGACAAAATGGAAAATGGCTTCAGTTCAGTTTGTTACACCATTGACAATTAAAATAGCTGATTTTGCTTAAATTGGATGATTTGTATTTTATAGTGTCTAATCTTCCCATTGCTGCTATTTGTTTATTATTTTCAAAGCTTCTTCATTTTTTTGAATTAAACCAATATCTTTTTATTAGGCTTCTCTTGATTCTTACATTCTTCATTTTTTGTTCTTTCATGTTCTTTAAATTACTTGCAGCGGATCTTACTTTCTTTATCTTGGCCCCCAGTCTGATCTTCCACTTTGGGATTAAATGATTTTGCTTTTGGTTTTCTAATTTTGCTACCTAGTTCTTCCATAACCACCAATGCTGTACTGTAGGCAAATCTATTGGACTGTTTAACTGATGTTATTTTAATCCTTACAAGCACCTTATTCATATCCTTCATTGTAAATGTCAGGTCTTTTGGGGGCACTATTTTCAATGCTGGCAGTCTTTGTCTTTCTGCTGATAATTCTGCCTATTGT